TGATGGGTGATGTTGAAGTGGATAATGGGTGATGTTGATGGGTGATGTTGATGTGGTTGATGGTGATGTTGATGGGTCATGTTGATGTGGTTGATGGTGATGTTGATGGGTGATGTTGATGTGGTTGATGGTGATGTTGATGGGTGATGTTGATGTGGTTGATGGTGATGTTGATGGGTGATGTTGATGGTTGATGTTGATGTGGTTGATGGGTGATGTTGATGTGGTTGATGGGTGATGGTGATGTTGATGGGTGATGTTGATGTGGTTGATGGTGATGTTGATGTGGTTGATGGTGATGTTGATGGGTGATGTTGATGTGGTTGATGGTGATGTTGATGGGTGATGTTGATGTGGTTGATGGTGATGTTGATGGGTGATGTTGATGTGGTTGATGGTGATGTTGATGGGTGATGTTGATGGTGATGTTGATGGGTGATGTTGATGTGGTTGATGGTGATGTTGATGGGTGATGTTGATGGGTGATGTTGATGGTTGATGTTGATGTGGTTGATGGTGATGTTGATGGGTGATGTTGATGTGGTTGATGGTGATGTTGATGTGGTTGATGGTGATGTGGTTGATGGGTGATGTTGATGTGGTTGATGGTGATGTTGATGTGGTTGATGGGTGATGGTGATGTGGATGGGTGATGTTGATGTGGTTGATGGTGATGGTGGTGTTGATGTGGTTGATGGGTGATAGATGATGTGGTGATGGTGGTGATGTTGATGGGTGATGTTGATGTGGTTGATGGTGATGTTGATGTGGTTGATGGTGATGTTGATGTGGGTGATGGTGATGTTGATGGGTGATGTTGATGTGGTTGATGGGTGATGGGTGATGTTGATGTGGTTGATGGTGATGTTGATGTGGTTGATGGTGATGTTGATGTGGTTGATGGTGATGTTGATGTGGGTGATGGTGATGTTGATGTGGTTGATGGTGATGTTGATGTGGGTGATGGTGATGTTGATGTGGGTGATGGTGATGTTGATGTGGGTGATGGTGATGTTGATGTGGGTGATGGTGATGTTGATGGGTGATGATGATGTTGATGGTTGATGGTGATGTTGATGTGGTTGATGGTGATGTTGATGTGGTTGATGGTGATGTTGATGTGGTTGATGGTGATGTAGTTGATGGTAATGGGTGACAGTGCTGGTGTTGAGACTCATAGAGGCACCCACAGAGACACCCACAGAGACCCACAGAGACACCCACAGAGATTCACAGAGATACACACAGAGACACCAACAGAGACACCCACAGAGACCCACAGAGATACACACAGAGACACCAACAGAGACACCCACAGAGACCCACAGAGACCCAAAGAGACACCCACAGAGACACCCACAAAGACACCCACAGAGACACTCACAGAGACACCCACAGAGGCACCCACAGAGACCCACAGAGACCCACAGAGACACCCACAGAGACACTAACAGAGACACACACAGAGACCCACAGAGACACCCACAGAGACATCCACAGAGACTCACGGAGACACCCACAGAAACACCCACAGAGATTCACAGAGATACACACAGAGACACCAACAGAGACACCCACAGAAACCCACAGAGACCCAAAGAGACACCCACAGAGACACCCACAAAGACACCCACAGAGACACTCACAGAGACACCCACAGAGACTCACAGAGACCCACAGAGAACACAGAGATACACACAGAGACACCAACAGAGACACACACAGAGACCCACAGAGACCCAAAGAGACACCCACAGAGACACCCACAAAGACACCCACAGAAACACTCACAGAGACACCCACAGAGACTCACAGAGACCCACAGAGAACACAGAGACACACACAGAGACACCCACAGAGACTCACAGAGACCTACAGAGACTCACATAGACCCACACAGACACTAGCAGAGACACCCACAGAGACAACCACAGAGACTCACAGATACCCACAGAAAACCACATAGACACCCAAAGAGACACCCACAGAGACTCACAGAGACCCACAGAGACACCCACAGAGACACTCACTGAGACCCCCAGAGACACCCACAGAGACCCATAGAGACCCACAGAGACACCCACAGAGATTCACAGAGCACCCACAGAGATCCACAGAGATACACACAGAGACACCAACAGAGACACCCACAGAGACCCACAGAGACCCAAAGAGACACCCACAGAGACACCCACAAAGACACCCACAGAGACACTCACAGAGACACCCACAGAGACTCACAGAGACCCACAGAGAACACAGAGATACACACAGAGACACCAACAGAGACACACACAGAGACCCACAGAGACCCAAAGAGACACCCACAGAGACACCCACAAAGACACCCACAGAAACACTCACAGAGACACCCACAGAGACTCACAGAGACCCACAGAGAACACAGAGACACACACAGAGACACCCACAGAGACTCACAGAGACCTACAGAGACTCACATAGACCCACACAGACACTAGCAGAGACACCCACAGAGACAACCACAGAGACTCACAGATACCCACAGAAAACCACATAGACACCCAAAGAGACACCCACAGAGACTCACAGAGACCCACAGAGACACCCACAGAGACACTCACTGAGACCCCCAGAGACACCCACAGAGACCCATAGAGACCCACAGAGACACCCACAGAGACACTCACTGAGACCCTCAGAGACACCCACATAGACTCACAGAGACCCACAGATACCCACAGAAAACCACATAGACACCCAAAGAGACACCCACAGAGACTCACAGAGACCCACAGAGACACCCACAGAGACACTCACTGAGACCCCCAGAGACACCCACAGAGACCCATAGAGACCCAAAGAGACACCCACAGAGACACCCACAAAGACACCCACAGAGACACTCACAGAGACACCCACAGAGACTCACAGAGACCCACAGAGAACACAGAGACACACACAGAGGACACCCACAGAGACTCACAGAGACCTACAGAGACTGACATAGACCCACACAGACACCCACAGAAACACTAACAGAGACACCCACAGAGACAACCACAGAGACCCACCGAAAACCACAGAGACACCCAAAGAGACACCCACAGAGACTCACAGAGACCCACAGAGACACCCACAGAGACACTCACTGAGACCCCCAGAGACACCCACAGAGACCCATAGAGACCCACAGAGACACCCACAGAGACACTCACTGAGACCCTCAGAGACACCCACATAGACTCACAGAGACCCACAGATACCCACAGAAAACCACAGAGACACCCAAAGAGACACCCACAGAGACTCACAGAGACCCACAGAGACACTCACTGAGACCCCCAGAGACACCCACAGAGACCCATAGAGACCCACAGAGACACCCACAGAGACACTCACTGAGACCCTCAGAGACACCCACATAGACTCACAGAGACCCACAGATACCCACAGAAAACCACAGAGACACCCAAAGAGACACCCACAGAGACTCACAGAGACCCACAGAGACACTCACTGAGACCCCCAGAGACACCCACAGAGAACCATAGAGACCCACAGAGACACCTGAAGGTCACTTCAACATGCACGCATGCATAGGTGCTTCTGCTGCTCGTAACAGCACTTGTCCCAAGGGTCTACTGATGCTAGACAACGAATCTTATCTTGTAACGAGATGAGGGTTACATTTTGACTTAAAACTTTCGTGACTGCAAGAATTCATATTCTTTGGTTCTTTCGGTAAAGTCACGTAGAGAGAGAATTAATAATAAAAGAAAAATTAAGTGAATGAAAATAAGAAAAAAATATTTAAATTAAATTAAAACCTACAACGTTTCGATCGCAACGCAAGCGGTCTTCATCAAGAACAAGTAAACCCGTAAAAACAAAGTTTTTCACAACAAATCCTTTATATGCGTGGCGGCTAGAGTCCTCTCGTCCTCTGGCTTGAGATGGCTGCCACCTATGGGTCAGATGATTGTATGGCACTATTAAGCAATTGGTAATTAAATATAATATTTTTGTCCTAAAAAGTGTAAATGTTTTGGAAAAAATTTCACGAACATTAATTGTCTCGCACAACCAGTCTGTGTGCAAAATGTCAGCTCGATTGGATCACGGGAAGTGGGTTAAAAAACGACCGAAAGATTTGCACGGTCCTAAGCAAGCAAGCGAACTTAATATAAAGGATTTAAATAAATAAACCCGTAAAAACAAAGTGTTTCACTATAAATCCTTTATATGCGTGGCGGCTAGAGTCCTCTCGTCCTCTGGCTTGAGATGGCTGCCACCTATGGGTCAGATGATTGCCTGCCACAATTAAGCAATTGGTAATTAAATATTTTAAAAAATTTCCCTAAACAGTGTAAAATTTTGGAAACATTTTTTCACGAACATTAATTGTCTCGCACAACGAGTCTGTGTGCAAAATGTCAGCTCGATTGGATCACGGGAAGTGGGTTAAAAAACGACCAAAATGTTTGCACGGTCGTAAGCACGCAAGCGAGTGAACTTAATATAAAGGATTTAAAAAGGGGGGTTAGCTTCTAAAGGCAAACTGTTTATAAAGCTTTAGAGATGGTCGTAGCCCAAGTGTGTCAGCAGCATGAGCGGGGCAGCTTATGTTCACGTGAGAGAAAACCCCGACACCGGCAGTAGGTCTACACCAGGGGTCGGCAACCAAAATAACAAGAAGAGCCATTTCTTTCCAATTCGGTACAAAATTCAGTATTTCAAGAGCCGCAATGCATCTGAGTACATACTGTACATATCGTCAAGAAGCAGCCCGTAAAGAGCCACATGCGGCTCCGGAGCCGTAGGTTGCCGACCCCTGGTCTACACCAATCAAAGGACCGCCAGGCAATCATTGCACCTCGCTCCACACACCCACACTGCTGACGGTAGAGGTTGACGAGAAAACACCAATCAAGTCATGACCCAAAGTGGTTCATGATATCTTTAAAATGATTGCTGAGTGTATAACCATCTTGAACTTGTATCTGTGTATGTATATGTAGGCCACGCGTTTGGTTGCGATGCGAGCATGCAGCGGACAGTGGGGGCAACTGAGGACATACAGTTGTTGCTGCGCCAATTAAGCGGTGAGGTCATTAAGAGACGCCACAGGTGTTAAGAGTAACTGAGGACGCAGGCCGGTAATTGATCGAGAGGGTAAGTGTCTGGGACTGGCGTCGGGGTGTCCACGAAAACAACATCACGTGACATCACGTGAGGCTGGGGGCCATGGGGGGCGAAGGGAGGAGCGGGGGATGACATAACTAATTGGGACTAATTGGTTCAGGGATAAAGGCAGAGCATAGAGGAGAGACGGGGGTCATTGTGAGTGTTGGAGTCGCAGTTGGAGTTGGCGTTGGAGTTGGTAAATGGACAAGAGTGTATAGTGTAGGGTAGCAGTGGATAAGAGAGTATAGTATAGGGTAGCAGTGGATAAGAGTGTATAGTATGAGGTAGCAGTGGACAAGAGTGTATAGTATAGGGTAGCAGTGGACAAGAGTGTATAGTATAGGGTAGCAGTGGACAAGAGTGTATAGTATAGGGTAGCAGTGGATAAGAGAGTATAGTATAGGGTAGCAGTGGACAAGAGTGTATAGTATAGGGTAGCAGTGAATAAGAGAGTACAGTATAGTATAGGGTAGCAGTGGACAAGAGTGTATAGTATAAGGTAGCAGTGGATAAAGAGAATGCAGTATACGGTAGCAGTGGACATAGAGAGTACGGACAGAGTAGCAAGGACGGATGTTGATGGTGATGTTGATGGGTGATGTTGATGTGGTTGATGGTGATGTTGATGGGTGATGTTGATGTGGTTGATGGTGATGTTGATGGGTGATGTTGAGTGGTTGATGGGTGATGTTGATGGGTGATGTTGATGTGGTTGATGGTGATGTTGATGGGTGATGTTGATGTGGTTGATGGTGATGTTGATGGGTGATGTTGATGTGGTTGATGGTGATGTTGATGGGTGATGTTGATGGGTGATGGTGATGTTGATGGGTGATGTTGATGTGGTTGATGGTTGATGTTGATGTGGTTGATGGTGATGTTGATGTGGTTGATGGTTGATGGGTGATGTTGATGTGGTTGATGGTGATGTTGATGTGGGTGATGGTGATGTTGATGGGTGATGTTGATGTGGTTGATGGTGATGTTGATGTGGTTGATGGTGATGTTGATGTGGTTGATGGTGATTTGATGTGGGTGATGTGATGTTGATGTGGTTGATGGTGATGTTGATGTGGTTGATGGTGATGTTGATGGTGATGTTGATGGGTGATGGTGATGTTGATGGGTTGATGGTGATTGATGGTGATGTTGATGGGTGATGGTGATGTGTGTGGTTGATGGTGAGTGATGGGTGATGTTGATGGTGCTGTGATGGGTGTGTTGATGTGGTTGATGGTGATGTTGATGGTGATGTTGATGGGTGATGGTGATGTTGATGGGTGATGGGTGATGTGGTTGATGGGTGATGTTGATGGGTGATGGTGATGTGGGTGATGGTGATGTTGATGGGTGATGTTGATGGTGATGTGATGGGTGATGTTGATGTGGTTGATGGTGATGTTGATGGGTGATGTTGATGGGTGAGGGTGATGTTGATGGGTGATGTGATGTGGTTGATGGGTGATGTTGATGGGTGATGTTGATGTGGGTGATGGTGATGTTGATGGGTGATGTTGATTGTGGTTGATGGGTGATGTTGATGGGTGATGTTGATGTGGGTGATGGTGATGTTGATGGTGATGTTGATGTGGGTGATGGTGATGTTGATGGGTGATGTTGATGGTGATGTTGATGGGTGATGTTGATGTGGTTGATGGTGATGTTGATGGGTGATGTTGATGGGTGATGGTGATGTTGATGGGTGATGGTGATGTGGTTGATGGGTGATGTTGATGGGTGATGTTGATGTGGTTGATGGGTGATGTTGATGGGTGATGTTGATGTGGTTGATGGTGATGTTGATGGGTGATGTTGATGTGGTTGATGGTGATGTTGATGGGTGATGTTGATGTGGGTGATGGTGATGTTGATGGGTGATGTTGATGTGGTTGATGGGTGATGTTGATGGGTGATGTTGATGTGGGTGATGGTGATGTTGATGGTGATGTTGATGTGGTTGATGGTGATGTTGATGGGTGATGTTGATGTGGGTGATGGTGATGTTGATGGGTGATGTTGATGTGGGTGATGGTGATGTTGATGTGGTTGATGGTGATGTTGATGGGTGATGTTGATGGTGATGTTGATGGGTGAGTTGATGTGGTTGATGGTGATGTTGATGGGTGATGTTGATGGGTGATGGTGATGTTGATGTGGTTGATGGTGATGTTGATGGGTGATGTTGATGGTGATGTTGATGGGTGATGTTGATGTGGTTGATGGTGATGTTGATGGGTGATGTTGTGGGTGATGGTGATGTTGAGGGTGATGGTGATGTGGTTGATGGGTGATGTTGATGGGTGATGTTGATGTGGGTGATGGTGATGTTGATGGGTGATGTTGATGGTGATGTTGATGGTGATGTTGATGTGGTTGATGGTGATGTTGATGGGTGATGTTGATGGGTGATGGTGATGTTGATGGGTGATGGTGATGTGATGGGTGATGTGATGTGGCTTGATGGGTGATGTTGATGGGTGATGTTGATGTGGGTGATGGTGATGTTGATGGGTGATGTTGATGTGGTTGATGGGTGATGTTGATGGTGATGTTTGAATGTGGGTGATGTGATGTTGATGGTGATGTTGATGTGGGTGATGGTGATGTTGATGGGTGATGTTGATGGTGATGTTGATGGGTGATGTTGATGTGGTTGATGGTGTGCTGTTGATGGGTGATGTTGATGGTGATGGTGATGTTGATGGGTGATGGTTGATGTGGTTGATGGGTGATGTTGATGGGTGATGTTGATTGTGGTTGATGGGTGATGTTGATGGGTGATGTTGATGTGGTGATGTGATGTTGATGGGTGATGTTGATGTGGTTGATGGTGATGTTGATGGGTGATGTTGATGTGGTTGATGGTGATGTTGATGGGTGATGTTGATGTGGGTGATGGTGATGTTGATGGGTGATGTTGAGTGGGTGATGGTGATGGTGATGGGTTGATGGTGATGGGTTGATGGTGATGGGTTGATGGTGATGGTGATGGGTGATGGTGATGGGTTGATGGTGATGTTGATGGGTGATGGTGATGGGTTGATGGTGATGGTGATGGGTTGATGGTGATGTTGATGGGTGATGTTGATGGTGATGGTGATGGGTTGATGGTGATGGGTTGATGGTTGATAGTTGATGGGTGAGTTGATGGGTGATGGGTGATGTTGATGGGTGATGGTGATGTGGTTGATGGGTGATGTTGATGGGTGATGTTGATGTGGGTGCATGGTGACTGTTGATGGGTGATTGTTGATGTGGTTGATGGGTGATGTTGATGGTGATGTTGATGTGGGTGATGGTGATGTTGATGGTGATGTTGATGTGGGTGATGGTGATGTTGATGGGTGATGGGTGATGTGGTTTGATGGGTGATGTTGATGGTGATGTTGATGTGGGTTGCTGGTGATGTTGATGGGTGATGGTGATGTGGTTGATGGGTGATGTTGATGGGTGATGTTGATGTTGGTTGATGGTGATGTTGATGGGTGATGTTGATGTGGTTGATGGTGATGTTGATGGGTGATGTTGATGTGGTTGATGGTGATGTTGATGGGTGATGTTGGATGGGTGAGGTGAGTTGATGGGTAGATTGTTGATGTGGTGATGGTGTGTTGATGTGGTTGATGGTGATGTTGATGGGTTGATGTTGATGTGGTTGATGGTGATGTTGATGTGGTGATGGCTGTTGTGATGGGTGATGTTGATGGTTGATGGGTGATGGTGTGTGTTGATGGGTGATTGTTGATGTGGTTGATGTGGCTGATGTTGATTGTGGTTGATTGGTGATGTCTGATGGGTGATGGTGATGTGGTTGATGGGTGATGTTGATGTGGTTGATGGGTGCTGTTTGATTTTCGTGGTTGATGGGTGATGTTGATTTGTGGTTGATGGGTTGATGTTGATGTGGTTGATGGTTGATTGTTGATGGGTGATGTTGATGTGGTTTATGGGTTGCTGTGATGTGGTTGATGGGTGATGTTGATGTGGTTGATGGTGATGTTGATGGGTGATGTTGATGTGGTGATGGTGATGTTGATGGGTGCTGTTGATGTGGTTGATGGTGATGTTGATGGGGAGTTGATGGGTGATGTTGATTGTGGTTGATGGTGATGTTGATGTGGTTGATGGTGATGTTGATGGGTGATGTTGATGTGGTTGATGGGTGATGGTGATGTGGTTGATGGTGATGTTGATGTGGTTGATGGTGATGTTGAGTGGTGATGGTGATGTGATGGGTGATGTTGATGTGGTTGATGGGTGATGGGTGATGTTGATGTGGTGATGGTGATGTTGATGTGGTTGATGGGTGATGGTGATGTGGTTGATGGTGAGTTGATGGGTTGATGGTGATGTTGATGTGGGTGATGGTGATGTTGATGGGTGATGTTGATGTGGTTGATGGGTGATGGGTGATGTTGATGTGGTTGATGGTGATGTTGATGTGGTTGATGGTGATGTTGATGTGGGTGATGGTGATGTTGATGTGGGTGATGGTGATGTTGATGGGTGATGATGATGTGGTTGATGGTGATGTTGATGTGGTTGATGGTGATGTTGATGTGGGTGATGGTGATGTTGATGTGGTTGATGTTGATGTGGTTGATGGTGATGGGTGACAGTGCTGGTGTTGAGACTCATATAGGCACCCACAGAGACACCCACAGAGATTCACAGAGCACCCACAGAGATCCACAGAGATACACACAGAGACACCAACAGAGACACCCACAGAGACCCACAGAGTACCCAAAGAAGGACACCACAGAGACACCCACAAAGACACCCACAGAGACACTCACAGAGACCACCACAGAGACTCACAGAGACCCACAGAGAACACAGAGACACACATAGAGGCACCCACAGAGACCCACAGAGACCCACAGAGACCCACAGCGACACCCACAGAGACACT